TCCCTCTCCCGCTCCCCCTGCTTGTGTTCCCTCTCTCGCTGTGTCTCTCTCTGTCAAATAAATAAATAAAATCTTAAAAAAAAAAAAAAAAAAGAACAACAAGAGTTTTGTGTACGTCTTGCTGGCGGAGGACACGCTCATGCTCCCGGGGCCCGTTTCTCTCTTTCCGCCGCAGTTACCGCTGCCTGGCTCTGCTGTACTGGCGGATGTTTCGACTCAAAAGGGACCACGCTGTCAAGTATTCAAAAGCACTTATCGACTATTTCAAGGTATTGTGTGGCTAGTGGGCAACACTGTTGCTTGTATTCAGTGGGCTCCCGGTCCAGGGCATTTTCCAGGAGCCTAGTAGAATCCCTGGCTTTGGGGGTGGGGGGGAATACAGGAACCCTCTGATCTCAACAGTAACCCCCGTTATGACACACTCATGGTGTTCAAAGCTCAGAGAATGGCCTTGACAGCCCGTCTAATTTATCCCCCTGCCTCGTGTCCAAGTACTTTCATGGCCTCAAGAGAAAGAAGATCCAATTACCCACTCCAGTGTCCTAGGAAATTCCTCTTTACAGCTAACAAATTCCTCATGTTCGCTTACAGCTTCTTCCTCTCAGAAGTAACTACTTAGAACTTCCTCCTAGCTCCCTCCAGTAGCTCATTTAATTTTTAATAAGGGTGTTGTTTTAAATGATAAACGGTTCGTTGGAACTCAGAGGCACTAGGACAATGGCATTGGGTAAATATAAGGGTAGAATTGGAAGCCAGGTTAACTACGTGTCTCAGGAAACGAAATCATTTTCACTGTGGGAATGGGGGGAAAAAAAAAAGCCTTTTCTGCTGTACTTGTGAAGCAGACATGAAGTTATAATGCATTTGGGATTTCTAGGCCTCTTTGCTGTCCATTTGTCTATAGAAACAAGAAATTTATGCCATTTCCACCTCCACCAACCCTTTGTCAGATACACACCATCATTTAGATCCTTTAATCCCCAACCTCCACTTCTTAGAGATCATCTCTGCCGACCAGGCTATGTTGGAGGTTCCATGGGCTGTGTCCAGCATACCACCTGCTTCCTGGTCACGCATGTAGAGTAACCAGGTGCTAAGGCGAGGAGAGAATTGTTTTGACACAAAGACCATTTTGTGTCATAATGACAAGAACGGACACTAAGCCTATTCCTTTACTTTGGGGGCCTAAGGTCAAGAGAGGTCGTTTCCAAAATGTCAGAATCTAAAAGCTAATACTGAAGAGCATTATTAGAGTAAAAAAAAAAATGCTTGAATAAAAAAGGAATCTGAACTCTGTAAGCCACAGAGGTTACAACAGAACTTTTAAGGGATACAAAAAGTTCTTAGCGTATGTATGCCATCTATGAATATGTACAGAATGGACAAAGAACACAACTTAAACATCAGTTTCCTCTCCAGGGGTTATTGGTAGTTACCCTTAATTAAAAAGCCATTTAAATGCTACTTAAAGTTCAGAGATTATGGGGGAGCCTGGGTGGCTCAGTCAGTTGAGTGTCTGACTCTTGATTTCGGCTCAGGTCATAATCTCAGCGTCGTGGAATTGGGCCCCACATTGGGCTCTGTCCTGGGAGCAGAGCCTGCTTAGGATTCTCTCTCTCCCTCTCCCCTCACTCTTGAAAGAAAAAGAAAGAGAGAGAGAGAAATGAAAGAAAGGAAAGAGAAAGAAAGAAAGAAAAAAAGAAAGCAAGCAAGCAAGAAAGAAAGAAAAAGAAAGAGAAAGAAAGAAAGAAAAGGAAGAAAATCTTTAAAAAAAAGTTCAGGGATTATGAAAGCTTCAGGTGGCGATGATAATTTGTCCATAAAGAATGTGTTTTATCGATACAGAGCTGCCCTTGAAAAAAAGACTTGGTCCCCATGTATGTTTTTACAGTCACAGAGCTTCCTGGTAATAGAAGAAGTCTGAAGGCAGTTGCAGAATTGCCACCTGTTGGGCCATTTCTTACCATTTTGGTAACACCTCCACTAAGAACTAAAAATCACTCACCACTTCCTAAAGTCCTTTTTAACCAAAAGAAACACCTTGTCTCTGGGTAACCAGGCTCAGGCTGTTTTTGAAAATTCACATCAGTATCATAAAGACCATTCTTTTCTTTACTAGTCCCCTAGACTTATGTGCAAGAACACATTATCAGGCTTTCAGAAAGGAAATCTGTCTGTATATTTAGCAACTTTCCTTGCCACAGGCAGGACTCCTTTTCAATGCCTGATGCAAATAGCTGGCTCATGTAACATAACATCCTAAACCAAAATATTCAGATAAATCAGTTTTTGAATACTCTGTTAAGGACATATATTGTAATCTGTTCTTTTAGAAAAATTCAGCAGCAATTTCCTTTAAGAGAAATACTTTTAAGCTTCATAAGGCAAAACAATATAATTTGGTGTCTCATATATGTTCAGGCATTAAATATATGTCAGTGGTTTCTGCAGATATGCCCTACATTTAAATATAAGGTGTTCTCAGTGGGTGTGGTGGGCAAGGGGTTGGGGGGGGGAACTCCTGCTGTTTTTTCCTTTTCAGGAAAATTAAGCTAGTTGAAAAAATTTAGGCTGGTTTAGGATTCAACAGACCCTCAGGATTATGATTTAATTTGGTACCTAGAATTTGGTGCATGAAAACCCAGGCTGTGGGGTTGAGTTCTCCATTTTAGCCCACCGTGAAATCCAGCAGGCCATGCAACTGCCCCCCACTAGCTTCCAGAAAAGAAACCAGTAGCCTAGTAATTTTAACTTCCCAGATCCAGTTTCTGTGAGTCTTCATTTTATCTGCAGTTTCTGCCATTACTTCTTTCAACGGTCACCTGAGAACATGTTACTGTCAGCTCTTTAAACTTAAACAGATGGTACTCACTGTCAACATTTTTATTTTCCTGCAGAATTCATCTAAAGCTGCCCAAGCCCCATCTCCATGGGGAGCCAGTGGAAAGTAAGTTCATTTCTCCAAAGTAAAGGTGATAAATGAGACGCTGCATGATGCTGGGCCATGTGCTACTTTGCTTACAGTACCCTGGGGGGCTGTTCTACCTCACCTGGTACCAACCTCCCCACTCTTGTGTTTTTCTACGCCCTCCGCTTCCAGGAGCACTGGAACCCCATCCCCCATGTCTCCCAACCCCTCCCCGACCAGCTCCGTGGGATCTCAGGGGAGCCTCTCCAACGCCAACGCCCTGTCCCCTTCAACCATCGTCAGCATCCCACAGCGCATCCACCAGATGGCAGCCAATCACGTCAGCATCACCAACAGCATTCTCCACAGCTATGACTACTGGGAGATGGCAGACAACCTGGCCAAGGAAAACAGAGGTGTGTGCGCTGCCAGGGAGCGTGTGTGTGCTTCCTCCACAGCTCAGGGAGCCAGCCTGACCCTGGACATCATTGAGCAGGTTTTCATCATGTACCAGAGAAGACATAATAGAAGGTGTCACCTATTGTGTGAAACTTCTCCTGACCTCACGCACGGCCTCCTCTGCCTTGACCGACCTTAATCTTGACTGTTGGTGATTAAAGATGGAGGTGGAGGTGGAGATGGAGATAGGAAACAGATATACAGAAATGATGTAGATACCTATATTAGGACACACCCTTGAGACAGTGAGCTCCTTGAAGGTAGGGGTAACCTTCTGTTCAGCTTAGTGTTCCCAAGACCCACACAGTGCTGAGAACACAGCTGGGGAGCTGAAACATTGAATGAATGAATTGGTGGATTGGTTAATGAGGATGAATGTTCCACGCTACTTAAGTGATAGCTACTTACCCCTGAGAAGAGAGTGTTTTCTAGGTAGCAGTAAGTTCTATTCTCTTTAAATAAGGTTTTTGTTTTCACAGATTATAAGACAAGCACATGTCTACTGTGGCTAAATTTGTAAAATGTGGAAAACTACAGAGAAAAACATTTTTTAATTATTAGTAATCTTATCACCAAGTAATAATTACTGTTAACATTCTACTGAAGTTTTTTCTAGTCTTCTCCAAATATGCATGATTCTTACCAAAATAAGATTGCAGTCCATATGCAGTCTTACATCCTGTCTGTTTCCATTTAACATTGTATCAGGCATTCTCCCATGTCACCAACTTGTTCAAAAACATCTTTTATGATGCTTCTAGAAGACTGTCATAATAGTGCTTATGTAGTCATAAAGTATCATGATTTCTCAAAACCATTCCCTTCTTATTGGACATATGTCACTTCCAATTTTTTCTACTATTAAAAATAATGTTATGATAAATATCTTCATATAAATCATTGTCCATATTCTGATTATTTTCATCAGAGGGGGAATTTGGGGGTCAACAGGTATAGATTCCTTTAAGATATATGTTGTTCTATATCTTGACATATATTGTTAACTTTCTCCCAAAAGATTATACCAATTTACCACTCTTCCTCCAGCAGCAGGTGAAGGTGCAAATCTGACCTCACTTTCAAGCCATGAGATGCAAATTTTGTTCCCATGATAGCATAAGCTTCTGAGGACAAGACCAGGATGTCCACAATGAGATGAAGAATTAATAGCACAGAGAAGCAGATGGGTCCTGAATACATAAAATTGATAATAAAACCAGAAAGTATATAACATGCATCCCAGAGGTGGCACACCCTGAAAATCTAATGGGAATGCCCAGGGAGGTCAATTCCAGGGACTGAGGCCACCAGGAGAGGCTTGCTAGAGGAACTGGCATGGGACAGGGTTTTGAAAAACAAATGGTAGTTGTGTAACTGAGACAGAGTGGGGTGGGCATCACAGGTGGACAAAATAGAAGGGACAGGACATATAAAAATTTACGTGGCCAGTTTGGGAGACCCTGAGCAGGCCATGCACCTGATGGCAATGCCAGCTGCCTTCTGGATGTCTCCTGCCAGAGGGCTCAGTGCTACGTGTCCGGTGCAAAGTCAGCGATTTTTCCCGAACCCGCTCCTCCTCCCCTCTTCTGCTCCTGGATTCCTGCCTTGGCTATCCTCCCAGCCACCTGGGAGTCTTCTCTAACCTCTCCTTTGCCTTCTCCAGCAGGACTTCACTGAGCATGTACCTGAGCACCTCTGAAAAACTTCTCCCAGATACTTATTTTCAAGGAGTGGTTGGTTCAGTGATCCAGTTATGACAGCATAACAGCCATACGAATTTATCTCTCAGCCACACACTGTGATCTCTGAGAGAGCAGAGCTTACTCATTATTCCCCTTGGTATACTCCCCTACCTCTACCCTCCTGCACCTACCACAGTGCCTTGGCACCTAGTAAGTATTTAATGAAAGGACAAACCTAGAGAATGTCCCGGGACTAGAAGGTGACCTCAGGAGGATTTTTGAGAACCCATCTCCGATCTGCCCCCAGGGGCCTGGAGCCTCCTCCCTTGGACTCACTCCAGGCGTTCAGCACATGCTACAGTTGAGTACAGTATAAGGGGCAACAGAGCCACAATCCACATCCAGGGGAGGAAGCATTCGTGCGCACAGACAATGCAGTCTGAGGAAGAAAATTTTCTTTGCTCTTTGGCTCAGCAAACATTATTCATTTAAATGAGAAATGGCCAATAAAATCCTTTGGATATAGGAGGAGTTCTCTACCTGTGGGTTCTGTTCCACTGAATGCTAAAGTTGCATGATGGAATAGAGAATGCTTGATTTATATAAAGACGAGGAATGGAATTTTTTTCTTAAGTCACTCGGGTCTCCCAGGGTAGCACACTTAGCATGTGTGTCACTCAAACGACTCTCTCTGTCCCCTAGAATTCTTCAACGACCTGGATTTGCTCATGGGGCCTGTCACCCTGCACAGCAGCATGGAGCATCTGGTCCAGTACTCCCAGCAGGGCCTGCACTGGCTGCGGAACAGCACCCACCTGTCATAGGGACCTTGCCCGTGAGCTGGATTGTGCTCTCGTCTCCACGGATGGCTCAATGTTTCTGGACACTGTGCTACTGAAGTCCCCGGCCACAGCATTTCCCAAACTGTGGTGAATATTTCCTCAGCATCGAACAATGGTCTTTTCCCAGGGCGTGTGTGTGTGTGGGTGTGGGTGTGTGTGTGTGTGTTCATGAAGCTGCCTGTATGTGTGCAAGATACACAGCTCTCTAGAACACACTTTCTTTGTCTAGTTTCATAATCCCAAGCTAGACAAAGTGATCAGAGGTTTCTGATTAGAGAATATACCCTTACACACACACACACACACACACACTTTCTGTTTCAAAGCTAAACCATGACTTCTTAGAACATTCAACCAAAATCTCATGGGTTAGTTAACCAGGTGCAATACAGCACACCAAAAGCTTGACTGCCAGTTAAGATGAACCTAGTTCTTATATTATTGATTACTTTCAGTATTAATATACTATTTCCCAATTAATTTTTGATTGTGTGTATTAATGGGTAATTGAATAATGAAAAGAAGTCAGTTATTTTTGTGCTGGACTTTTACTAGATTGCATGTGACCAAGTACCTTGCCTTTTGTCTACTCCTCACCCCTTCCATCCAACTTTGTTATCAACTAAAGGCATTATGAGCAAATGGATCAAATCCCACAGGCCTGCCCTGCCCTGCCCCCAAAAGAATATGAACATGGCACTGAGGTTTGGTAAAAAGTCAGTGTCTTTGCAAGCTAACCAACACTAAGAGACAACTGAGCTCAGTCAAGAATTGCAAGTTTCCACTCGTGCCACGACAAGCCCACCCAGCACATGTGTTGTTTCTTCCTGCCACTGTGACACGGTGGCCACAGAGCCCCGGGGCGTTTGTCAGCCAATATTTTTCAAGTCTTTTCTCTCTGCGATAGCTCTCTTACAAATGTTCTAGGCCAAATTAGGACATTCCCTAGAATGTCTCTTCACTAGGAGTCTGTATCTGCTGCTTCTCGGGCTGAGAACTATTCACTATCATGAGACTGTCTAATCCTCTCACTCTTCGTGCAGAACGGCAGGCCTTTAATGCATTTCGATCTGGGGGCTGTGTTTCAGGCTTTGATTAGCAACAGGGTAAGTTATTTTTGCAAGGACCGCAAATCTGTTTGCGGTAGCAATGACCAGAACATCATATGCTTCCATCCCGCGTGTCTGGTATGTTTACGTCTTGTCCTTGATTCTTTTTCTTTTCTTTTTTTTTAAATGAAGTTTACATTTTAGTTTTTTGATGTCTTGTTTACAGTTTTTGTCTGAAACTTACTTCTTTTATAGTCTCTTATTGTGCCCTAGATTTAGTCTTCTTGTAAAATATACTTGGATATAAAAAATACTGGTAAAAAAGAAAAATTCCTACAAAAGAGGATAGACCTTGCCATATCCTTAAAAACAAAAATAATGCCTTTGAAGCCTCTCACTTGACAGAATTGTACCAGGATGGTCTGAGAAAGACAGGGGAATGCCATATGTGGAACGCTCCATTTTCCAAGGTGATGGTGGCACAAAACATTTATAAAAGATAGTGATATATGCTTTCCCTGACGCTCTTACTGGTTTGGTTGTAATGTTCACATTGTTGTCACCTGACCTGTAGGTGGGAAATAAGACTGCTATAATTCTAAGCGCTGATTCAAAAGGATTGAGCAACTTCAGTGATTTGAAATGAATCGAAAGTGAAGGGTTCAAAGGGAAATGAAGCCAGTGAAGGATTTGTGAAATTTGCATTTGGCTTCAGCCCTGAAGCTTCTGGAAATATTACCAGTATTTCCATTTTACATTTATCCAACTGAGGTGCTCCTCAAACCCCTTTCATGAGTTGTTGGCAGAGTTCATGAGCCCATCCTATGTTGGAAATTTGAGTCTAATTTAGGATTTTTATTTTATTTTATTTTATTTTGGAGGACAGAGGCTTAGTTCTACTTCCTCTTGCTAAATTCTGATGAAATGTTGAAACGCTTACGTAAAGGGATGATGAGCCTCAGGGTCCGCATCATGTATCCCCTGCCCATCCTTAAAGTCATAGGTCTTGTGGGAGCCCCACGGTGGCTTACCCACAAAACCCCATGTAAACACACAGGTGGCCCCTGGCTGATTGTGCCCACAGCATTTTATCAGCACTTAGGTGGCCCGTGTTTCCCAACAAAACTTGGAACTGGTCATTTTGTGGATGGTCAGTGCGTGCAGGGTCCTCTCCCTGTCTTTGATCTCATCAGTAGACCCTGTGAGGGCAGCAGTTTCTGTTTGCTTTGGCAGAGGTGATTTTGGTAAGGAACCATCTTCTGATTGTTGTTTGTGAAAGTCATTCATAACTTGTTCCTTTTCTTTAGCTTTGTTCAAAGTAGAAATACCTTTCTTGTGTTTTTGGATTATAAAAGTAATACATGCTCATTGTAAAGATTCAAACAAGACAGCGATGTATAAAGTAGAAAGTAGTAAGTCCTATCCCCCGAAGACAACCACTGCTCACAGTTTCATGTAGATTCTTCTAGAGATTCTCCCATTTAAACATATAATGTCTATTATCGTTTTTTCCTATTTGAAGATATATTATTTCCTCAGAAGTTCAACACAAGTTCAACTGACCTTATCCTTCCATGACCTGAGTGGATGCCTTCCTTTATCACAATGTTAGCGTTACCTTTGAAAGAAAGTGACCCAAATATATTCCTGATCAAAATTTGGGATTTATTACTACTATCTACACAGATCAGACTTATGTGCAGGATTGTGCCTGGAAAGAGAGGTTTGGTTAAAACAGATATTTCTGGAAACATTCAAATTGCAAATGGAAACTCGGACCTACTATCTAAAGAAGAATGTACTGGAAAAATAATCTGAAGAGTTGACAAATTGTGTACTAGATTGAACACATGGAATGCAATGCAATGAGATTTTCTGCACTAAAACTTACCCTAGTATGTAAAACAATGATGTGTGTATTATATAACAGTGATGTGTACATTTCTGACATCCCATACATAATATACACAGTTTGTATAAATGCATACATTTAAAAATATATATGTACGATACAGCTAACATAAAACTGTAGTATGCCTGAAGGATATTCCTAGTGCCTAACATTGAGTATAAGTCACTGCGTGTTCACATCACCTTGGAAGTGCAGTAATTGTTACAAACTTAATCAGTGCAGCCAACATTATTTATGAATCACATCTTTGAAACTGTGCAGTAGTATATACATATATATTTTTAAATAACATTTTTCACAGTTTTCCAGAGTTACTGTTGAAATCTGTATCACCAAAAAAAAAAAAGCAAGATTTTTTTAATGATGTAGAAACTCTTCAGACCCAGTAATCTGTGTGTGATTTCCTGTTTGTAGATACCCAAGAGACTTTAGCAGTCACCAGCCTTAAAGCATGTACAGGATATTATTGTGACTTAATTTATCTGCAGTTTTTAATCCATGTGAAATTGGAATTTATAAACTGACTTGGATTAAATATGTCTGCCTTTCTAAGGTTGCAAATGTTACATTAAATGATTTATGTTGTAAACGAGAGAAACCGAGTTGTATGTAAAAAAAAAAAAAATGTCCACCAATTTCTGTGAATATTTTTACAAGGAAACTTCAGAATCAAAATACGTTCAAATAAGTATTTGGGTCCCCGGTTCAAAATCTCTTCAGAAACAACCCTGTTGTTTCATGAATTTCTTAAATGTAGCTCCCACGAATTATCATTACTAGGTCTGATATTTTCCAAGGGCAAGACAGAAGTATGTTTTTCTTCATTACTACTTGTACAGAAGGACACAGCCCAGTGTCCCAGAAAATGCTGAATAGGAAGCTTGAGTAGTTCACTGATGCCGGTCCCACAGGTAGTCCTGGGACACTGGGGCACTGTTTTACTCAACATTCCTTAATAACACAAGTTAATTCCCTAAGTTATATGTGCCAGGTTCTTTCAACTCAAACCAAAACATGGTGGAATAATAATGCTCACAAATATTTGGTTGAACCAAATAAGAGAACTTTGAACTAATGAAGATGGAAATATTAGAACAGCAGCTTGCCATTATCTGTCCCCCTGCGTGGGAGGGTTTTTTGTTTATCTTATTCTTACTCTTCTCTCACAACTTTTGCAGTCCATTCCTTCCCAAAGAAGCAGAAACGGCAACAAAAACAGAACGATGTCTCTACCTTATCCAGCCCATACCCTTAGGTTCAAGTTGCCTTGTCATGCAGCAGGACCCTAGCTCGGCACCACCATGGAGACCACCTCATCCCAGAGGTGGCCAGGACAGGGCACTGGCCTTGCTCACTCCAGGGACCTTGATGCTCTTTTCAGAAGTGGTTTGGCCTAAGAAACACTCAACAGTCTACAGTTTGCCTGCTGTTAAAGTCTGTTGTAATCAGAATCATATTTTTAAGAAGTAACACATTTTCAATGAAACATGGATCAACTGGAGTCTTGAAAGACACTTTTTTAATGAAAGAAAGAAAACTTAACAACATAAACTGCATTTCCAGCAATTTTCCAAGCACAGTTTTCGATATCCCAGCTTCCCAGCAAACAGAACAAGAAATGTTCAGACTTGAGATTTGTGTTCTCTTTGTCCAAACTGAATTACTCTGTATATGTCATCCGAGGGGTCAGCTTGTTTGTGTGGCATGAGGAAAATTACAAAACTCTGTTCTCAAACTAATTACATCTGGCCACAGTTTTGGTTTTTATGATTTAATTGGCATTCTGAGGCACCAGGGGGTAATTTGGGGCAGGCTCCAAGGGCACTTAGATTCACAGCTCTTACAGTAATGGGAATCAGGGGATTAAATCCCTACATGTTACTTTGAACATCCACTTCTTAGAGCCAGTTTTAAACACACTGATCTGAGGGATGAATTCAAAGTACTAATTGCAAGTCGACACGAGGATCAGCATTTGTCTTTAAGCATCAGGAAGTAATGATGGGGCCTGAAAGGCTGAATCAAGGACTTGTTTTCCACTCATTTCTGACATAGAAGTTCATCAGAAAATATTTATATCCAAAGATGATGTAAAATAGTACCATTGTTTAGGATTTTCAAACAGTGCTGTTTGCTGATAAAAATAATCACAATATTCAGCTCCCTGTTCTTCAGCACTTCTTTTCAGTTTTCCATAAGACAAAACTGACTTTTTCCCCAGTGTTTATCATCTCTTGATTTCTAGATGTCCACATGAGCAAAGAGAACATACTTAACGCTGAGAAATATGCACTACTTGACTGAACAGCATTCTACCCACAGTAGCCAAAGGTATATGACTTCTTAAAGAACACTCTTTGAGTCTTCTCTGTTACCTTCATCCTCCAAAGTGAGAGATCACAAAGCCTCAAGTATGGCCATGTAGGTGAGATGTCAAAAATTCTAAGTATATAACATCTAATCTTTAGTGATAGATGCCTTCAGAGCATCACCAGCTGTCTCTGGGGCCTATCTGTGTAGTGAAATAACGATATTAAATCTTTCCTTTGAGTAATCCACAATCTGAGTATTAATCCCCTGCAGTTCCCAGGGCTGCCAACTCAACCCAAAATGTCCTTCTCTGTGAACTGGGTTGATTTTGTTGTTCCTTTGGGGGCTTCGCCCTTCTAAGTTCTATAAGTCAGGTTTAGTATCTTGACTTTTTAGAAGAAGAGTTATTAGAGACAGTGGGAGCTTTAAGGAAACAAGGATTCAATATGAGAACTCATGGATGTTGGGATGAGAAGTCAGGAAAGTAACTGGGGTACCTACCCAAACATTCCCCTCCATTGCCTGCTGCACCTGATCCTTGAATAAAGCTCCTCTGCATACTGCAATTTCCTCTATGTGAAATGTAACTCAGAATACCCATAACCTCAGACAGAGTGTGAGGATCAACAGATTCGGGCAAGCGTTTTGAGATTCCCAGTTGTCACATTCAGCAGGTTGTCACAATGCATGATTGTCAGAACAGAGGCAACAGAAATATATCTACAGGCACCAAGACACAAAGGTGTGTGATGCGTGGCATGGTACTCTGTCCCCCCTGAAGAGGTTCTAGAGGACCAAGAGGATGGCTCCGTAAGATTCTTCAGCCTTTATTGTTACCATTTTGAGTCCTCCTGCCTGTAGGCAGAGGAAGACCAATGAGGGGGTGGAGGTGGGGGGGATCTGTCCTTGCCAAGAGGAGCAAGGCTGCCAAGTACCCCATCCAGTTGGTGGTACAGCCCCACCCCCCTCTTTCTCATCCAGTCCTGACCTTAAGAAATCAGGGGGTGTCAGATGGAAATTGGAAGAAGGAACATTGGGTCCAAGTTTCCAGTGTGCCATCTTCCATGAGAAAATAACTTGCCTATTGAACACCATACTTCAAAAATCTTCATAGACCCAGAGAACACAGCACAGTCTTGTTTTGCATGCTCTCATGGCTTTTCTTTGAGGCTGAGTTCCAAGATGGGGATCTTGTGCCTTTGATGGTTTGTTTGTATGTTTGTTTGGGGCCAGGAGGTGTAGGACAGCTAATCCGGGACATTTGTCCCTGAGAAAGGAGATCTGTCGCAAGGGACTTGGGTATGTCATGAGCTTCAGGAAAGAGGAGACCTCTCTTGAGAGAATAGATAGATTTTTTCTCTAGTGGGTTAGGTTGCCTCAACATGATCACTTAATTGCAGGCTACACCTTAGTCAGTGTACCAGGAGAGAGAAAAATCAACATAAGAACTTAGTGATTTTTGTGATGCCCACCTAGACATTTGTACATTCTAGCCCCAAACATTGAAACAAAAACTGGAAATCTGACCAATAATCTGAATGTTTCATACCACCGAGATCAAGGCCCTAACTGTTGGATTGAAGTTTTGAGCTTTTATCTAAAATTTATAGTATTTAGACACGGCCCTTCCTTGTGTCCCTAAATCAGAGCTTTGATGTCATCAAAATAATCATGAGATACTCATTCTAAAGGGCCTTTTCTTTTCATACTCACTGGAAAATCCCTAGCCTTTCTCCAGTACAAAGGAGCAGGGGCTTAAGGTCTTGCAAGATCCATCCTCATTTAGGCCCAAATTGACACTAACACCCTTTCCACAAGAGCATAACACCTTATCCTGTGTGAATTCTGAGTTTTTAGGTAAAAAAAATTCTAGAATGGCAACAGGTTTATTAGCATGAGGAGGTGTCGATACACTAGCTAGACTCTTGGATGTCACATTTTCGCAGGCAGGATGTTATAGAACAGACGCTCCTACCACAGCATAATAAACAGTTGCTTACTCTACAGTTCCATGGGATCAAGTTGAAAGTCACTCCCATGTAAGTTTGCCTCAATCGGAGCAGGGATTTAAAATTCCACCATTTTATACTGTATCATTTTGGATGTTTATTTATGGAGCCGCAACTCTAATTCAATATTCCTGCACAGCGTGTCACAGCAAACAACTTTTCAAATTCTGCATCTCGGTCTCAGGAAAGCCGTCAGCAACTTGGGAACCTGCTTACGTCCCGCGAGACTTTTCCACTGATCCAGTTTTAGCAGCCACAAAACCAGATTACAGAGCCTTCACCTCCTCTTCTAGGAATTGGTCTTACAATTGTTTCCAGGACTGAAGAGGATTTTAAGTAGAACAATTCTGTACAGTAATTTATGCTGTAAAAATGTACCCATTGTAGTATTGATTAAAGTGCTGTATTTATAAGGTTGATTACTATTTTCATTTGTGTCTAGTCATTCAATATTAAAATAGCTTAAGTTCATTTTTGTTATGTGACATTTATTTGGGACTTCTTGTTAGGGCATTTGGATATGGTTATGGAGAAAGTCCAGAATCTGTGTTGATAGCCATTATTTTAACCCAAGTAGTTGTAATGGTCTATTAAGCATCAACATTACCAACCCAACTGATTACCAACTGATGAAACCGTGTGCTCTTGTCTGTGTCTTTAAGTGTGTGATAAAATCTTAACCCAAGCAATGAATAAAGACTAGTGGCTTTAGAAAGGTTCACTTCCTCCAGCTTTTCTTCTCAAAATTCATTAGCACTTTTCCCAAGGAAATTCCAATGCATCCTCACAAGTGCCCCCAGATCTCTTACTCCTATAGAGAGGTCTCTTCTCCCAGGCTGCTTCTAAGGTGTCTGCATGCATGAAGCCTAAAGTCCTTCACTTTGGTGGTTGCTGATGTCTGCATAAGGAAAGGCACATACTAAATCCTCTTTCTATCTTTCTCTCTCTCATATAAGGAAAAAGTTTCTCCCACATAGCAGTATTTATCATACTGCAAATAAACAAAACTCCTATTTCAAATCATGAACAATTCAACATTGAATTATTTTGGCAAGGTGTTAGGAAGGCATAGAGTGTACATCTAATATTAAGGAGTTACTTAGGGAGATCTTATATTTTGTCTGAGTTTAAATTTACATGTACAAAAACGATGGAATCATTGACCATGATTTTACTGTTTGAAGATTTTGCTGTGTCTGTCTAGAAGTCACATAAAACTCAGGCAGAACAGTTTCTGGAATGGAGGAACATCTTACTATACTGTAACAGAATGAGCCTTAAGGATTTTTGAGAATAAGCACTTTTATATTTGAAGGTAAATATTAATGCATCAGTGAAGTTACTTTTTTGAGGTCTTAATAAACCTTGAAATCAACATCACTCTGTCTCAAAAACATCCTCCTGTCTTTTCTAGAACTTCCGAGTAAAATGTCCTTTCCCATATGTTACAGTATTTTGTGTTAAATGCAGTCAGCTAGTCACAAACTTACCTTTTCCTCTACAAAAGTATGACCCTACCAGATGAGCACATTTTACAGAAAGGAACACCAATCTGAGAAGGCTCTTGGCAGGAAATGTTAAGTGGCACCTTAGAGTGAAAAACAGAACGACCTATAAGAGAACCTGGAATATTCTTGCTAAGAGAGGTTTTGATTTTGTTTCTCTGGTTTTTTACATGCCAAGCTTTGTTTACTATAAAGCAATGCCTCAGTGGAGGCTGTTACATTGTGACATATATCAAACAGAACAGACAACAAAAATGTTCCATGCTGAGACTGACTCCTGCCATTTGTAGTTCACTACATTTCTTTTTCCGTTTTCTTTTTTAAAATTTTATCTTCAATCAAACAAGTAATATGAGAATACAGTCTTGTTTAAAAAAAAAAAAAGTATATGGGGGCGCCTGGGTGGCTCAGTCAGTTAAGTGTCTGCCTTCAGCTCAGGTCATGATCCCTGGGGCCTGGGACAAAGTCCCACATTGAGCCCTGCATCCGGCTCCCTGCTCAACGGGGAGTCTGCTTGTCCTTCTCCCTCTGCTCCTCCCCACCCCGTCGTGTGCATGTGTGCGTGCTCTCTCTCTAATAAATAAAATCTTTAAAAAAATTAATTAAAATTAAATTAAAAAGCATGTGATAAAAATAGACAAGCATTGCTCAACAGCAATTCATCCTTTTAAAATGTCGGATTTGTTGGTTTTTAGTATGTTCACAAGGCTGTGCAAACATCACCATTATCTAGTCACAAGAACATTTTCATCACACCAGAAAGAAACCCCATACTTAGCAGTCCCTCCCTATACCCTCTTCCCCCATCCCCTGGCCGTCTCTATGGATTTGCCTAGTCTGGACATTTCATATAAATGAAATCATAAAACAGGTGGCCTTTTTTGGGCTCCTTTCAGTTAGCATAATGTTTTCAAGTTTCGTCCCTATTGTAGCACGCGTCAGCACTTCATTCTTTTTTTGGCTGAACAAGATTCCATTGTATGGACATACCACATCTTATCTATTCATCAGTCAATAGGCATTGGGTTGTTCTCACTTTTTGGCTAATATGAATAATGATGCTATGAATATTCATAGCACAACTTTTATGTGAGTATATGTTTCCAGTTCTCTTGGGTATATACCTTGTTGAGGAATTGCTGGGTCATAGGGTAACTCTCCATATTTCATTATTTTGAGGGGAGACTGGGGAATGACTGCTGATGGGTGCAGGATTTCTTTTTTGAGTAATGAAAATGTTCCGGAATTAGCTAGTGGTTATGGTTGCACAACACTGTGAATATACTGAAATCCACTGAATTACACACTTTAAAAGGATGAATTTTATGGTATGTGAATTACATCTCAATTTCAAAAGTAGTCAGTTCTTATTTAGACTTAACATGAAAGCTTCCCAGTTGTTTTGTTGCTTCTTGTATCCTACTTCTTTCAGATCAGATCTGAGTTGTAAAATTTTTGAATCTTTGCATGTCTGAAAGTATCTCACTTTATGCCCTCACCTATTATGGAATGCTAATTTAAAAGGATTTTCCTTGGAAGTTTGAAGATACTGTTCTAGTTTCTTCTTGCATCTCACGTTATCTTTGTAGTAACAGAGTCCTCCTCTCCCCATCCCGCTACTCCCAGAAAGTGTTTAGGGTTTTCCCTTATAACCTTGATGTCTGAAATGTCATCATGACATTGCTCAGCAGGAGTCTCTCATTTTGTTTGTCCTTGATTCCGCTCATCCACCCAAGAGTCCCACGCCTGTCCTCTGGGTCCCACACCGGTCCTCACTCTGGGGCACTGGCTTCCATTACTGCTGAGTATACTCTGTCCTCATCTTTTGAAGATCTATTCGATACATGTTGGGAACTTCTGGGTTCATCTTCTGATTCTCTTGACCGTTTTTTATATTTTCTGTCCTCGTCCGTTTTGCTCTTCTAAGAGAATTCCTTGGCTCAGCCTTTCAACTTATTCTCTTGTCAGCTTCAGTGCTTCTGACCACTTACTGAGAATTTTACTTCAATCGTCAAATTTTTCATTTCCAACATCTTTAAAGCATTCCTTTTTATGGGTGCAATATCATTTTATCTCCCTCTGAGGATTCTAATTATATATGTGCCATTTTCTTGTTCTGTTTGCTCGATTAACTCTGCTTCTTTAGGTGTAAACTTTTCCATTTGTTGGGGTTGGTACCTCTCTTTTATGGCTTTTTCCAAATGTTTAGGGGTTATTGGCTGTGTGCTACACTTCACATTTGAGCTCTCAGCCTTTCTGCCAATGTTCTTTCTATTTGCTGCATCTAGACTCCTGGATGTAGAGGGCACCCCGTCCGTCCTGGAGGTAGCCAGGGCCCCATCTGGCCTCTCCATCACAACCATCTGAACCCACTGGTCCATACTGGGGAGCTAACACCCCTGGTGCCTGCTTCTTAGCCTGAAAGTGGAGAGGTGGCTGCTCCTATATTGGGATATAATCCCAAGTGATTAACCACCCCCTCCAGGGTACCTCCCAATATTCTTGACCTCCAAGCCCATCAAATCCTGGATCAGCCCTCTATATTTTTAGTTCTGCACAACCTCAGGACTGTGATTTTCTTCTTTATGATGGTCCTATGCTTTTTCCATCCTTCAGAGATGCCTCAACGTTCCTGGACTTTTTAAGACACCCCTTCTTGTTTTTTAGTGCTCTTGTGGATTTGTTGTTGCTGTTGTTGTATCAAAGAGATATAACTTTAACAAAGTCAAGTCCTAATGTTTGCCAGGGGCGGGAGAATTGCCGTCTAGCAATCAGGCTTGATGCATCCCATCTAACTTGCTTTTCGAGATGGCCTTGGACTTCTGGACTCCACATTGCTGGGAGCCTCACCCCTGATTATCCTGGCCTTTGTGGTGCAGTCGCTGTTTAGCCCTTCGAAAACCACTTGGCCGCTCATTCCTGCTCCCGCTGCTGCCCGTGCCGTCAGTCAGTCTGTCCAGCGGGGCCCCTGAGAGGTCTCTCCCTGCGGGCTGTTGTTGGCCTCTGTGCTTCTGCCACACCCGTGGGTCCAATGTGAAGTGGATTTTTGGCATCCACCCCTGACATAACCTTAAAAATGCCCCCTGGAGGCAGAAATTTCTTCTCCATCACAGACCATGTTGAGACCATTTCTACCTCAAAAGCGCCACCCACAGAAGCCAGGTCAGATGGTTCCAACCCCACTGCTGGTCAACACAGCACATCCTACCCTGGGTACAGACCAGGGACTGGTCCCAAGAACAGTGGCAGAAATCAGTTATTAGTGCTGGGACAGAAAAGCTGGACCAACAACAAGGGGACTTGACTGTGAGTTGCCTGAACACTGAGATGTGATTCCTGGCTCGGGATAGCTCAGAATCCAGAGCCTGGGGTGGGTGGCTGGCAGGTGGAGGTTCTGTGGCCTCAGTCATGGAGTGGGGAAGGCTGAGGGGTAAAGAGAAAATAAAGAGGTTCAGTCTTTTTCACCAGACCGATTCTAACTGAGCTTGCTGACCCAGAGAACAGTTCTACGTTCAGCCAGTTAGCCAAGGACATTTCTAATGTGGGACTTGGGAGACATCTCAGTTGATGTCATCTCAGAGCAAGTAAGTAAGCAAGGTATGTAAGGCATGACCCATGAAAAGTGTCCAGGGTGATGAGTGTATTGGTGGACACATGATCCTTGCCACAGGACCACAGAACCAGCCCCTTGGGGAAGTAGAGGTAGATGACAGCCAGGTAGTGGGATCCATGGAACACTGGGAAGAATGTTCTACCTCCCTCAGTGACTGAAAATTCCTGGAAGACCACCTCCCAGCTCCTCTTTGTCAAAAGCCTGTATTCCCCTAAGGTGTCACACAGGAAGTCCCTCACGCATCCCTGACATCATCACACTGTTTCCACTGATTAGCAGGAGGAGACCGTGGGGAGGCAGAGGTGCCGGGTGGAGGTGGCCAAGAAGGCTGAAGTGGAGAGAGGGAGACAGGC